CACACACACACACACACACACACACACACACACACACACACACACACACACACACTTGAAAGAAGGAATTGTGTGTCATCACACACTTTCATGCTGAATCTAGTGAACTTGATATCAGAGAAGATTCTTTGTTTCCTTTAAGTTGGACTTCAGACCCTTCAACTTATCACTCACCATTTCCAGATGAGTCACACAGGCCTTAAACGTTATACTGTGAGAATAATTTGAAGTTGTTTTGTAAATGAGCCGCTCCTGTCCTGACTGGGCTTATACGGTGGTCTCTGCCATGCATCGTGCACCCTGAATRACTCCCCACCCCCTCCCCTCAAAAGTGGAACTCCACACTTTGCTCAGCCATGTGAAACAATACTTTCACAATACCGCAGGAGTTTGATTGTTGGCGACAAGTTATATAATGCCAGGAATTACAGACTAGCATGCAAATGCTAAATCCTCCTCTCTTTCTCCTGAGAAGTGGATGAGACGGACTGTATCTGCAGGCTTCACTCTGGCTCCCCAGCTTTGTGCCAGAGACGCTCTCCTTTCTCCTCCTGACTTGGGTGATAATCCTGACACGCACTGTCTGCATTTTTCACTGTACGTGTTTAAGCGCATTTGCAGAGCATTTATCTCTCCAATGTAAACCAATTTGGCTATAAGGGCCTTGGGCCAAGCAAAGGAGACGGAGGGGGAGAAAGGAAAACCCAAACCTAGCAGATGTGCAGAGAAGGCAGGACTTGAGAGCCGGTGAGGACGTAGATGGGGGAGCTGGTGAACAACTGAATACAGCAGCAGGGGGAAAAAAAGCAGGGGGAAAAGAATGTACCTGGTCTGAAGGGTAAGCTTTTGAAACTTGGGATAGGGGCCTTTAAAGCCGATAGAACGTGGATCACTGAATTGTTGAGTCACAGAATCTGTGAAAATCATACGGAGCTCCAGTTAATCCTGTCATAGTCAAACCAGTGGGCAGACTTCGAGAATCCCAGCCCCGTCAGAGGAAATGTAGAGCCTGCTGTATTGACAGAGGCTGTTTGATACCGCCTGTACACCTGTATCAGCTCTCTGTTAATCTGCTCCCCCTCCTCCCACCACTCCACAGCGTGTTGACGCTGCTGGTTGTAATGGCTGATGAAATGGACCAGAGGCGTAAAAGCTGCCAATCTTGCGGCTTCTCGATGTCGCCTGGCTCGGGTGAACGTGTCACTTTGATCATCTGTACGGCAGGAGCCCCGCTGCGTCTGACATTACTAGCCACAGTTCTGCCGAGCTATAAAGACCATTGGGCTCTTTGGTCCCTGAAATGGGACATTAAGACAGAATCATCCTAGTTTAGTTGTGGCGATATCAAGGTGTTTTGTTTGCTTGCACACAGGCGGGGTCTGAATGTGTTCGGATGGCTTTTAAAGCACCTGATCTTATAGCCTAAGGTTCCTGTGAATGTGGCGTTTGCTGCTCTTGTCAATGAGACGTTACATGAGAGGAATACTTTGACCTCCTGAGACTGCCGGGTGCTTCTGCTGTTTGATTACAACACGCACAGCTTCGCCAGGAGCGCTCAATAAAACAACTTCTCAAACTTTGTCACTCACTTTCTCTTGCCAGTTTATCGAAAACAAAATGAGGTGTATCTAAATATGGAAGAGCTCAACCCTCACTATCATTCATTACATCACAGAAATAAACAAGTCTAGTTAATGTACAATAAAAAAATGATTGGGGAGTAATAATATAGCACATACAGAGTGATGTTTTCCTGTAGGACTGTCAAAAACACTTCAGTTTTTCCACATCATAAATTCTATAAAGTCTATTCAAGGTGTTAATCCTGTTCAAAGCTGCTGGAAGTTTGTGCAAATATCTGTGGCTGTGAGAGTAGTCCATTATAGACTAGTGATGTGTGAATCCATACTGAAATATCGATACCACTACCCAATATTTAGGCTCTAAAATCAATTCTAAATTCAAAACATTGATACTTCAGTCATTTCAGGTGATCTACTGTATATCAGTAACAGGAACACAGTGGAAAGCAACTAAACTATTAAAATCTTGTCTAAACCATATGCGGTTGGTGGAACTGCTTTTTCCTGTGCCTGCAGAAGTGCAGCAACATGTTCCGTATTTTCATGTTAATATATTTATGTAATGTYAATTAAGAAGTTTTCATTTTTAGTAGTTCTTTTTAATGGTTACATTATTTTACTTAATTATTTTTACTTAAAACATTTTCACATATTTTGTATGATTGTGTCCTCTGGTTTTTCTGTCGCATGAGCCCCGACTATATTGTAAATGAGGACGCTGCATCAACATACTTATAAATAAATGACTCTGATGTGTTGTATTCTTCATGAAACAGTGAATTGAAATTCATAACTCTTTTTAGATTTACCACACATTACGTGTATTTACAGAGTATCAGAATCGGATCATGGGTGGTTTCAAACATTCCTATTATTTACAGGTCGCTGGTTCATCACCAACACAGAAAAAGTTGCTGCCTGTTATTGAGATTGGTACAGTATTTCAATTTAAGCTTCCTTTTGACTCCTAAACATGCAATTTACATTTATGATTTTTTAAACTTACATATAAAAATGTATTAATGTTAAAAGTCTACTTGTCTAAACGACTTTAACATCAATCTATCTGTCCATCTTTTACCCATTTCATCCTTTCACTGGGGCTCATATCCAGCTGTCACTCTGCGAGGGGCGGGGTACACCCTGGGCAGGTCTCTAGTCCATCACAGGGCCACACAAAGACAAATGAGACAASCATTCGCTCTCTCACTCATGATGTGGACTCTCAGAAACCCGTCATCTGATGCTGTCGTGCCTCTAAGTCTGCAACACCTCTTCTCATCAGAATCTAAACCAGTGAGTGCACTGTGATGGTGAAGCAAACTGGACTTTTTAAATCTCTGGCAGTTCATCACTTACCTTTCAAGCTGTTTGTTGGACTTGAGCTGCTTGAATTTAATAAAAAAAACTTTWAAAAAAAAGGGAAAACAAGGGTGTTCTACACCGTTTGACCAGCGGCGTTTTTGTTTTTTCATATAGTCATAGAGCCGACACAATTTTCTGCTGTAGATAAAAAATAGTCTTCTTTTGAAGAGGTTTTACAATCAATACATTTTTTTGCCTTTTCACGATATTTAAAGTTGGTAAAATATTGCACTATATAAATATTATTAATGTCAAGTTTCAAATCAAGCAGAAACACCAAACTGCTGCTGTATGTCGTGGGACTCTGTGAGGCGAGTGTGCCATTAATTCAGTCTCAGATCCTGAGGGATTTATGAACAATGTCAAGTTCCCTGTGCAGACCTGAGTCTCTTCACTGCCTCTTAAGGCTTAATGCTCCCTGACTGAGAGGCACAGCGAGAGCCACACTGTGTCTCTATGTGCTGCAGATAATGCTGAGAACAACCTCTCAATTCCAGCTCTCCTCCTCACCTAACGCGCCTTCGGTCCTCCGCTGCACGCGCACGGCCATTCCCATTTAGAGGCGGCAAGTGAAAACAAAACATAAAAAAAAAAAGTGTCAATAATGGGGGAAGAAAAAAAAGAAAAGAAAAGCAGACATCGTCTCTAATGGGTTTTCATTTCAGGAGAGGTTTGCAAACGTATGTAAATTTATGTAAACCCAACAGAAACACATATTTACAATAACACAGGGTAATCACAATATGGCGACATGGTGCGCTGGCCTTGGAGATGGAAGCGCCATGTGTCATTAGTCGCCTTTATCTCTCTCTTTTTTTTTTGGTTGTTTTGTTTTGCTTTCTGCAACGGCATCGAGGGAAAAATGGTTCTGAGCGACAAGTAAAAAATGATGGTGCTCGTCTGTCTTACAGTGAGGTTTGTGTCCTCACAGCAGCCCGTCGCCTTAAAATGTAAAAACTGCACTCGAGATTATTTTGTGAAATGAGAAATTCAACAGTTCATTAAAGGCAAATACCACAGTACATCATTAGTGATCATACAGATGTTTGAAAGAATTGTTCTATTCTTATTCCAGATGTGTCAAATTAGGATTCACAAYGAATAAATCCAGATGTGGAGAAATGACAACTGCTGTTTTACTGAAATCAGCTCCTTTGTTTTATTCTTCTTCATCACTTCACAAAAAGCATTACATTTTTTTAAAACAAAAGCAAAATATTATTCCATTTTACATCCTTTTCATTTTTAAACACATTTTCATGGTGGTTTCAGTGTGACCCACAAAATAAATTTATGAAAATTTAAATTGTGAAACATTAAATAATAATAGTTACATATGTTTGCAAATACTTATGCAAGTAAAAATTATAAACCTTYTTTTTTTAAAACTAAAACAAATTATGATGATCATTTTAGATGACAAGCTTTTATTTTGAAATGATGAGCTCAGAAACAAATACTAAAAATTTGTTGAAATCTAAACAGAAACAAATATTTCCCCCCTCATTTTAGCAACAATTATTCCAAATTTATAAAAGTGAAAAGCCAAAAAGGAAAAAAAATATCTGTAGAAACAGCAAAATATTACATTTTCTTTGAAATATTAAACATTGTTCAAAAGCTTCATTAAGTGTAACATTCCTGCTCGGTTTGACAGTGGTTAACACCAATTAATTTGTTCTAACATTATTTTGAAAAAGAGCACTTTCTTTAGAAAGAGGTTTTGTTTCCAGTTTACCTTCAGCTAACTGAGGGTTCTGTGGGTCAACATCTGCTCTACTTTCTGTTCTGTCTGACGACATGTTCCACCTCCTTCATGAAGCGCAGACACACCTCATCCTGCCACGGCAGGGCCACACACTGCACCGCCACGGGCAGACCCACAGCTCCGGTCACAGCCTGAACACACACACACACCACACACACACACACACACACACACACACACACACACACACACAAGTTTGTATATCTATCCTTATTAGAACTGTGTACGGACTTCCATTCATTTCTGTATGCTATCTCTAAATATACCCTATTCATACCTTAGTCCCAAACCTAAACCCACAGTGGTGTTCCACCYTATTAGGACCAGTCTTTGGTCCCCAAAAGYACTGCTAGTCCTGATAAGGTAGGTGTTTATACCAAAAAACGTCTTTAAAAGGTAACAGAAACCCAGATACACACACTTCAGTCGCTCTAGAGTCTGCTCAGTGCAGTCTCTGTCTCCACCTGCTGACCAATCGTGGAACTGCTTTTTTAAAATAACGGCATGGTTTATCGCACAGACATGGACAACTATTTCCATGAGAACAAAACTGCATCAGTTTTTACAGTTTGATTGACTTAATTAGAACAGAAATATCTAAAAGTGCAAGTTCAGTCAGTCTTGAATAAATTTTATACAGACTTCAAGTTATTATTATTATTTTTTTACAAAAACGTTTGAATTCCGTTACGTAAACAACCATCTAAACCACATGTGTCAAACACAAGGCCCACGGGCCAAATCTGGCCCTGTGACATTTTAACAGGCCCCTAAAGTTTGTTGTTTTTTATATTTTTGAACAAATATTTGTATACTTGATTGCATTACCAAATTTATTGTTATGTCATTGTGATGTTATTGCTAATATGATGTTTATATGTGGACCCCAGGAAAAATAGTTATTGCTGAGGTAATAACTAACGGGGATCCTTAATAAACTAAAGTAACACTTTAAATGTAAAAAAAAAAAAGGTTTTACGGTTTCTCTTTTTGTCTCTATTAGTGC